TATAGGCGACTCCAACAGATACCCATTTCCCACTCCACTCAGCCTCCCAGTAACATCGCCCAGTCAGCTCCTCTCTGCACAGAACCTGGGACCAATAGTCAAATCTCTCAGGGTTATCAGGACATGGCTGTTCCTGTCTCATAACTGTGACTTTCCGGTTTTCCTCTGACAGAGCAAGACATCTGTGGGCTGTTTCTTGGTTCAATGTGAGATCACACGCATCTGAAAAAAAGAAAACATCTCCCCTATAAAAAAGTGGATCTCAAAAAGTATTACAACTGAATGCAATAAATTTAATAAGAAAAAGATTAGTAAGGAACTGGTAAATTAAAAGTGAAGAGGTGAATAGAGAGAGGAAAAAGAAATTGCACAGATACAGTAAGATAGGAAATGTTAAATCAGAAAGATATGACAGAGGAGAGCCCTGTAATACACAGTTAACTGACTGGAATGAAGTTTGAGAGAGCAACATAAGACAGGGATGACAGATGTCGGTAGATTCAGGAAAAGTCCACTTTGTCTTCGTCCTCCTCTGTGCCCCCTCTCCCCTTTTTTGTCTGCGTAAACAATTAAAAACCGACTCACATTTCAGCAGTCCTGGTTTGTCCCTGTCCTTTCCAATGTGGTCAACACTGTATGAAAACAGAGCAGACACACAGATTCAGGCACACAGAGACATGCCTGCATAGTGGCAGAAGACAGTGGTGTCAAAGATCCACAAGTTCGACAAGCCTTACTGAATGCATGATGAGAGTCTAAGTAGTAACACCTTACAGTGCTAATCACATTTGTGGAACTCCCTGCCCAAATCCATCAAGATGTTTTGATTACGGATTTTTTTTAAGCATCACTTAAACCTGGCCAGGTTAGAACACAGTGGGCAGGTCAAGATAATGTTAGTTATAAAGACAATAAAGGGTCAAACAAGGTCACTTGATAGCTGTTAGTGGACCTGTAGTAAGGCCTAAACAGTCACTAAGTGTGGTATAACAGACAGGCTCTACCTCACTGAGTGAGCTGGTTGTGTACCTGTTTGTATATGTTATCTCCACACACTGTCACTCAGTTTTTACACTGCTTTGTTTTTTCATGCTTTCACACCAACTACACTTCACAAAACAGACTTCCGGAATGACAAGACAGGTGAAAGACCTGCTACAATCTGAAAGCACTTTTCCACCCAAACCCCTCTGACCTCTTACAGTAGGTCTCATGTGCTCACATAGCTCCCCTTCAGGGGGAGACTTCAGGTCTTCTCCACCTGCTGTCTTCCTGCATACCGTGCTTAAATAATAAACTGAAGAAAGCACCTTGTGAATGTCTGTGACTGACAGCCACCAAGGCCATGCGTCTTCTCCAAAGTCTCTCCAGTCCACGAGTAATCACACATGGATTTCTGCAGCCTCCAGTCAGTCTGCTGTCCACCGTTGCCACATCACTGGAATACTGCAGCCAGCAGCCTCTGCTGCCTTTCTTTAAAGTCTCTCTTTGGTCCTTGCTGGTGAAGAAGCCACGGTTGATGAATCTGCCTTTACAGCACCACAACTTTAGACCCTCAGCTAACCAACCCTTCTGTGACTCTGGTTAGTACACACAAACATGTCCGTCTCTGCTGTCACTTTCCCTCCTGCCCCTCCAGTCAGTGTATAGAAGCTGCTTGTATCTCTCTCGCGCTAGGTCAGCCTGTACTGCACACAGACACTTACCTGCAGC